TGGTCTACTTCATAGTAATATGGTCTCCAAGAGATTGTTCCTTCATTTAAACAAACAATCTTCTTTTAAGTATTCAATTTCCTCTTTTTATCAGTATCAGGTATGTCTAAATCCATCATAGAATTGTAATGAGAAAGTAGGAGAGAAGCTTAGATTTGGACTCAACTGGAGAGATCATTAAAACAATGCTTTTACAAAATTCTAAGTCATCCACCATAAATAAGTATCCAGCCTCTGCTTTAAACACTTCATTGATCGGGCACTCACATCTCTCACTTAGCACTGTATGATATGCCTTTTAACAGCTGTAAATGTAAGAAAATTGTTATGTAGACCCCGAAATACCCGTCCCTCTCCCTAAGCCCATTTTTTCTCTGAAGACACATGGTGAACTGTGATATTTCCTCTGTATCAGAAACTTTTATATATGTGAAGGTTGCAGTTAAAGAAATAAATGAAAGCTATTTAAATGAGAATAAGCAGAGGCTCTTTATTCAGAGCTTCCTGTAGCAAGGCAGTCACCCACTGTCACTTGCATTTGCTGGAGACCCGAAGGCAGGTAAGAAAATAGGGAAGCTTTGTAATGAAAAAGCTAAAATGTTGGGGAAAGGCTCAAGATATATTCTGATTAGAAGTTAGCATGGGGAGGCTGGAGGCAGGCTAACTAGAAACAATTGATTTGGGGAGTATATTTGACTTTCTCTGGTTGTTTCTGATATGGACATTGGGGTACAGGAGAGAAGCAGGCCTGTATTAACCAAGAACCAAATGTTTTGGGACAACTGTGGCAGAGATTGTGATTTGACCTCACCAGTTAATGGCAGCAGAGATTGTAGGTTGCTGTTCTAATATCATAGGTGATCTATCCATTATCTGTTTGTATGTTCAATTTCTCAGTTCCCTCTTTTGGTTCTTCCCTTTCTTGCAGAATGTTAGCCAAAAGGTAAAACTAGAGATCCATATTTTCACTGCTTGATGAGTATTCACGTGTCTCCATAGTCAATTGTATTAATCACAAAAGCTTTTTAACTTCTTGATGCTGTATTATCATGGTGATCACCCGATGAGACAGTGCTGTACAGAAGCTTTTAAGATGTGTATCAGCATTAAAGTTAAGCATTAAGATGATAGAATTCAATAGATTGCCACCATGACCACAATGACAAAAATATGAACAATTAAAATTTCATTAAAGATGCTTCAGAACCAAAAATCTGAATTGTTCAACCAAAGCCAAGAAAACAATCCCACGGGTCATAAGGATTAATCTTAGAAAGCCAGGTAGCTTTTTCCTTAAGGTGATATATAACCTTTTTCACTGTACTTGTTTGATTGAGTCAAATACAGCAAGAAGTATCATCAATGGCGCAGCTACCACCATGACTAGTGAACATGAACTCTAGATCGTTCATCACTACTCTTGCCAAGGAATTGAGACTGATCTGTATTTCAACTAGGGGACAGGTAACATCATTTATAACTTCTGTCAGAATTAAAATGATACATGTCTTACAGTCTTTTGTTTGTATGATTTCTATTATTGGAAACACTCCTTTGATTGTTTGCATAAACAATGAATCAGTAACTTCCCCAGTTAAAGCACCTTAATAATCAAGGGTAGCCTCATTTGGAGCTCACATCTGAATTGTAATTTCCAGTTTGATGATTTGTATTGTTAGAGTGTCTGTACAGATAATTTTTGTTATACTATTTCTGAAGTGCATAATCTATTCATATGAGGGAAGTAAGCCCAGCTATCCTGGCTGCAAAAAAAGTAGTATCTGGTGGGAACATGCAGGTACCCCAGTAAAAAGGAACGGTTCATGACATGATATTGGGACCAAGGACTTACGTTAACTGGATAATCTGAGATTGGTGTTAGAGTGGTGATGCTCTAATCTAGCAATTTAAAAAGGAACAGAACAGAAGAGGGAAAAAGGGCCATCATGGGTGGACAACAACCAAGAGTCTACAAAAAATGATCATAATGATTCTAAGTAATCAGTGAGGGTAAGTAATTAGTAGGGGCTTTCTTGATCCAACATCTTGGGCAGAAGCTGTCCACTATCTGATGCCATCAGGTTGTTCTGAAGAATCCTGTTTGAGGTCCTCTATTATAGTATCCTTTTTGTTATGTTGATTCTAGATTGCTTCTTTAGTTTTTAAATGTGAACCCAACCATTTACTCCAGGGAGTTTTACTTCTGTATTTGTTGTCAATAGCAGTATTTGATAAAATCTTTCCCATGAGGTTCAAGAGCAGCTTTTCTCTGATGTACCTTCTAATAGACAAAATCTCATAGCTGAATATCATGAAGAGGCTGTTAAAGAAGATATTTTGAACATGACCTCTTTGTGATCAGACTGGGTATGGTGCATGGGTGTCTTGCAATATTTTACAGTGTCTGAGTACAGAAGGCAGAGTAAAGGATCATAGGTAAAATCCTGAAGCACATTGGCCTTCCAGTTATCAGTTCATAGGGAAGTAAACAATGTGTTCTTAAAGGAGTGGACCAACTGACATAAGGATGATTGGGACTACCTTTGCCCACGGGAGCTCAAGAGTTTCTGAAAGTTTTGTTAAAATAATTTAAGAATGTTATTGATTGTTTCTACCTTTCTAGAAGTTTGTAGGTAGTCAGAGCATCATGGTTTCAGGTTTCTGAATAAGGGGTTCTTTTATTATGTTTCTTGTGCAGTGTGTACCTTAGGTACTTGATATAAAAGTCTGTATTCCCCAAATTGACAACCAAGAATTAGACAGCTTTTTAGCAACTATAAAGACTGTGGCTTTTTGCCAAAGAGACCTTTCAACCCATCCTGAAAATAGATACATAATAACTAAAACATTAAAATCTTATGGAGTATGAAATCTGCGAAGAATTCATCTGGTATTCAAAGGGCCCTTGAAGCTTTGGTTCCTCGCCATATCCTACCTTCTAGTTTTTCTAAAGTTATGTAGTTGACAAGGGCTGTGTGACTTAAAATTGACCTCCACTGTCTTTGAAAGGTTCTGAGTAGCCATATTGATTTCATGCAGTAACTGATTTATCTATACCATGATGAATAGTTTCATAGAGGAATTTAGTTGCTCTCCATTTGAAACCACCTAGTGTCACCCAGCAGTGATCTTGAGAGCACTAAGGATTATCTGAGTGAAGGTAGAACCATAGTTTTTCTTTTTTTCTTTTTTTTCAGGATGAGGGGCTAAATGTTGATATTCATAATAGTTTCTTATCCTTTAAGACTTTAGATATCATGACAACATTGGTTAAGACTACTTGTTTGGTAAAATGATCTACTGAAGTATTTTTTTTAGCGTCATTTTTATTTATTGTTTTAGTGAGCTCCAACTTTTATAATAGCTACATCTTTATGAAGTAAGAGTGTATCTAAACATGTCGTAAACAACTTGTTCACTTTTGATAGGGTTTTCAGCAGAGTTGAGAACACCTTTGTTTTCAAACATTCCAAACTCATATCTTAAAAAAAAAAAAAAATCATTCCTGTATATGTGTTTATTCTGTGATCCTTGGCTGGTTGACAAGCTCAGGTAAGTGCTATGATACAAAAGGTTGTATTCTAAAGGCAAGCTTAAGTTAGTGATAGCATATTCCATTCTAGTTTCAAGTTTTGATGTATGATCTATCAACAAATAAAGGTATCTCAAGTTTTCAATGGGAGTTCTTGAAAAAACTGAATGAGCTAGACAAGTTCCCTAACTGGTATAAGAAACTCAGGAGGTTCCCTTCTCCTGATAGGATCAGGGTGTTGTCCTGGTGAAGAGTAAAGTGAGAGGGAGAGGTAACACGTTCTCAGGAGAAGTTAATTAGCCAGCTGAAAAGTGCTGTATGTTCTCAGGCAATAGTAATGTCTGTGTTGCATGAGTATCCATGAGATCAAGACGGGAGCTTATACCTAGTTAAGCAGAGTTCGGAGGTGCCAGCTATTTCCCTAACATGGTGGAATAAGCCTTTGTAACCAGGTCAAGGAGATGAGTTTTTAATGACTCCCATGAGGTCGAGTTAAATCTCTAAGGGCTTGTCCAGATGGCTCAGAGGGAAGAAAGGATTTTTAGTTGGGGATGCCTATGGAAGAGTTCTGTTGACAGGCCTTTTTCAGATTACAGAAGGCCAATTCATGACTTATACTAAGAGTTGTCACAGTCTCAGAAAATTTGACATTTGTTGTTTGCATATTCAGTTAAGAACAGAAATCCTTTCAGTTGTTTTGTGTGAGGTCTCAGATGTTTGAGCAGTCTATAGCCTAATCGAGAGAGTGATTGCCCTCCTTATATAGGTTATAAACTTAGTAATGGATTATGTTTTGACAAAATTATAATTTATCTTCTGAAATTTTATGTACTTTTTTTGCTAAGTCTGAGAGTAAGTAAATGGAACTCCTTTTATCAGATTCCTTGTTCTCTGAATAAAGCAGGAGGTCATGTACTATTGTATCAGGACTGAATTACAAGGGAAACTTAGGTCTTTTAAATCTTAATTGAGAATATGGGAAAAATAGGAAGGGACTTCAGTTGGTACCTGACAATACTGTTGTTCTCCCCAGGTGAATGGATAAAAAGAAAGCTTCAGATATGTCCTGGTTGGAGATTGTTGGATGAGGAAGCAGAGGGCAGGCTAATTAGAAGCAAAGGATGTTATGTAATCAGTTTGGGAACATATTTGTCTTTTTCTGGTTGGTTTTGAATTGGAAGCAAAGACAAAAATAGGGAAGCTGGTAGTCATCGACCAAGTCCCAACCACTTTGGGCCAATTGCTTCAGAGGTTGTGGTCTGGCTTCTTGTAAATCTTCTCATATAATTTGTCTCAATTGCATCTAGAAATGATTAAAAAATAATTGATGCATGAGGTAAGATTATTGCAAAGCAGAAGTGTAATGTTTTACTTTACAAACTACTTGCAGACACCTGAACACATGGACTTTTCTCCTTAATACTATTAATATTAATTTTTCTTTCTGTAATTGTTTGTATTGTTACAGAGGATCTTGATGATTTAAGAATGGAGGGAGTAACTACTCTGGTACCTTCTGGGAGCAAATTTAACCAAGCTCGTGCTACTCACCCCGCTGAACCGCAGGCCAAGGTCACACTGAACATCTGTTCAAGGTGTGCCAGGTAAAAGAGTCCATGGGTACAGTATATATAAATGCAATTTTGATTTCTGAAGTCTAAGATTTTGAGGTAAAGCACGAAAACCTTTTCCTTCTAGTCATCTTGTGCTCACATCAGCAAGGGAGTTCATTGCGCCATTTGTTGTTGTGCCCAGTGCCACTGAGACCAACAACTAATCAAAGAGTTTAGATTGTCTTAACTTTACAACTTGAAACTATTTTAAGTCTTTCTGTTTCTGAATTTCATTTGCCATCTTCCCTTCTGTTCCCTTTCAAAGGAAGATGCAAGAGGCTTTAAAAGTTCAAAGCTACTTTTAAAGCACCTGAACAAAGCACAAGTTTGCCCAGGTACAGTCTAAGATCTTATATTATTGGCCTCTTAACCTGCTCCTTATCCTGTTCACCTCCTGGAAAGAATTTAATCAGCTTGACGCTTTTCAGTTTTGGCAGCTGGAAGCAATCTTTGCATATACTGTATGTGGCCAAAGAAGTAGCTTAAGTTACTGCCAAGTCAGCTCCCAGTGCTGGACTAGCAGAAACTCACCCAACAGCTAGAATTTGTTCCTTTGTAGGAACTAAGTCTTATTTGCAAAGAGGCTGTTAAGCCTGTTTAAATGATAAAACAAGCCTTCTAACCCTTATGTAAATGACACAGATTAACAGGAACAATGCATTGGCCAGCCAGTTTTATCTCCTTTTCTTTGTGTCTAGCTATTCTATTGTACTGTTTAAGAGGGGATTAGCGGCTTGAAATGGGGAGGGGGAAAGTGTAGGAAAATCAAATCAGATTTTTGTAGTTTTTCCTCTTTCCCTTTTACCCCTCCAGAATTTTTATTTTAATTGTACCATAGCACAGTGAAAACACCAATGGAAACATTGCTTCAAACAAGGGATATTTGGATGAATTGAGTTTTTGGTTATGGCTGTGAAGAAAATTGGTAATATTTGTGTGATGATAGTTAGGCACCCTGAGTATACAAGGTCACCTATGAAAGAATGGCTTGGCATTTTGAACAAAACTTTTATTTGTACATTTGTACATCTTGTACACATTTGTCTCTTTACAATTTGACTGGTGAGGGATTGGTGCTTAGTTTTTCATGCCATTTGGAGAAGATTGGAATAAGAGGTGTTGGTTTCTTAAAAGGGAAAGCCTATGGAAATAATATATTTTTTAAACTTTTATGGATTTAAATTTAGAAAGGACAAAGCACATACACAGCCCTAAATTATTTACCTTTCAAATTCCAAGGGATAGAATTATACTGTAAATTACAAACTATCTGCTTTTAAGGTGAGCCCTTTACTGAGTTTATTGAAAAAATGTTCAATTGAGTAATCAGTTACATTGCCTTTTCACTATGTATCAGATACTATGCTAAGCACATTAAATATACTAAATCATTTAATTCTCAAATAATGCTGGGAGTTAGTTACTATTATTATTCTCATTTTATAACTAAGAAAACTGAGGCATGAGTTGATTAACTTGTCTAAGGGAACACAACCAGTAGGTGGCAACAGTTTCAAATGCAGGCAATAAAGCTTGAGTCTGATTGCTTAGTTGTTTTGCTTTATTGATAAGCACTAAGCCATTTTCTAAAGATGGAGGCCAAGATTTAGGTGTTTGAAATGATGGAGCTCTTGATTGTTTTGATGGAGCATAAAGTAATGCTGTACTTTCCAAAGCAAGATAGAGATACCTTGATTCAGGGAAATGTATTAACCAATATAGAAGATGGAAGGTTTTTAATTTCTGAGCAGCTGCTATAGCCAGAGTTTAGAGTATAAGAAAAACTAATATACATTGTCAAAAACTATGAAGGACCTGAGATTTTACCTTATTTGCAATCTAATGTGTTAGTCTGCCGATGTATTATAAATGCTAGCAGAAGACATGAAACTCCAGGCTCAGAGATCAAGGACTTAGTATACACAGTGACAGTTGTCAGAATACTAGAGTTTCCACTGGATCTCTGAGGCACAAATCTCACTGACTGACACAAACAGGGCAGTAGGTTACAGCACATGAGAGAAACCCTGAGTTTAGGGAACATGAATATTTTACAATGGGAAGTTTGCATTGCTCTGGAGAGAGACTCTATCTACATCTCTCTTCCAAGGCTGTCTGCTATATAAACATTTCTGAACAGATTGTCTGAAACAAAGGCTGTCAGTGTCTCTGCTCACAAGACATGCAGAAACATGAGAGACTTATGGAGAATTGTCTCCAGATATTAGTTACAATGGACTACTTCAATAATGCATTGATGTGGTTATCAGAATTTCCATAATTAATTCTAAAGCATCACTTTATGTTGCTGACTCACCTCTCCTAGTTGCAAGTAGGGCTTTTAAGTCTGTGAGAACAACACTTTTTAAGCCAGGGTTGAGCAATTATCTGAGGCAGAAGTTGTAAATTGAAGGATTGTGGGTAGTGTATAGGTTTGTGTGTTCAAGTAATATGTAAGAGTACTGCTCGATTAGTTACTAATTTTACGTGAAAATTGAGATGTTTATCTTCTGTTTAAAAAATCCATAAAAGTGATAACAGTGGTCCCACATTCTCAAAGGGTTACATACTAGTGGCTTTCTCCTGTGGAGCCGTAGACTCAGTGACCCCACTCTTGCTCACCTCAGATTGTCTCTCCACTTTTGCTCATTTATACTGCCTGTGTAGAGTCTGTAGACCCTTGTTTGTAACCTCTGATTTGCAGAAACATTGGAACACCAAAGATAAGCAGTGAACTAGGAGGAATGCAGACTGAGGAGCCTGGCCAAACCGGCAGGGTTTGGTGCCCAGAAGAGGCAGATAGGCATATCGTACTGCCTCACTCAAGGTACTTGTCTCTGGGTACTAGGTCATGGGCAGAGATTTATGGTAGTCAAGCTGTCTCTCAGAATTCAGAGTGAGTTGATCAGAAATCCAGCTCTGCAAACTAAACCAACATGGAGAAAACGATTGCTTCATTTAGAGAATGGTGTCCATCCCCATTGCCCTCTTTATGGGCACTGCTACCAGCCTGGAAGAGACCTGTGAGAGATAATGCAGGCTTCATGCAGGAAGCCAGACATTGGATTTTGGGACTGGGATCAAGATTTAATTCCAAATTTTACTGCTTTGGAGACAGTATGGGACTAATGGATAAAAAAGTTTAGGGCAATTAACTTTAAGTTGTATCATGTACTTACCGAGATCTTTCAAGACTTTATAACAAAGGTAGACTACAGAGACAACATTTTCTGAGGTCTGACAAAGGGATCTATCTAATGGTCACACTCTAAAGTACCTCGTGAGTTATCTTGGGAAAATTATGCAAATATTCAGAAAATCGGGTCCCTCTTAAATGGAGCTCATGTAATCCTGGAGGTAATTTTTAAGGAGGTTTGAGGGCACTGGACAGGATAATGTATGCAAAGGCAGCGAGCAAAGTGTTCACAGTGCAAGCCTCTCAGGACTAGGGGGTTTTCTTCTTCTCACTAGCTGGGATAATTACCATGTAAATACTTAAGCAGTTTAAAATGCTTTGAGCTTTTATTTTTCCCCATCTTTTTAAGAGGCCCACATGAAAGTGCACAGGTATTGAGAAAATAAAAGAACTTTATTTTCCTGACATTCAAGAACTGTCTTCTGCCTTAGCTTCTGACTGACTGGGGGGAAAACTGTGGTCCACCTTCCAGGATTCCCTGTGTTCAGTGAAACCGTGTAAGGTGGAGACATTTTTGTTTTGTTGTTGTTGCTGTTGTTGTTTCTTAGTGTTAAGGTCAAGGAATCTGGATGTGTTATGATCTTGACATAATACTATAGCCCCAAGATCCTGTCAACAACCTCAATATAAAGTCAGTGAGACTCAAGTGATTTTTAGAGCTTCTGCAAAAAACCCATCAACAATCAAGTTAGGGTAAAGAGGTGCAGTCTACTCTTTAGATTGTCATTTTCCCCAATCTCTTTTTCAAATACTGCAACACCCGTGAGTTCCATATAGGGTCACAGACGCTTGAAGTGAGCGAACATATGGCATGTCCAGGGCATTTTTGCTCTGTAAAGCTGAGGGCATACAGCCAGAGGCCACAAAGCCCTACCCATTCAGACCCTGCTTGGAAGACACGCTCTGTGATGGAACTGATAGACTCTACTGGGAATAGTTGAGGGATGTAAGACCTACAGGACCACTGGAGGGACTTTCACTTTACAAAATATCAGAACAAGAGGAATTCAGCCACGTGAAATTGCTCTGTAAGGTTTTATGTGGAACAAAGTGACTAAAATACTGCCAATGTCAAAATATTTATTGATTAGCAAGAAATAAGATCACAGAATTTTTAATAAATATTTTACACATGATTAAAAACTACATGAAAGCTTGTGTTTTTAATCTGGAAAATTCTCCAGGGTAGTGTTACTCCCACAATTCTTGGTGACTTTTGTCTGATGTGGATGTTGCTGCAATTTGTGTGATTTAAACAAAGAGAGGACATGTCCTGGCAGGTGGAAAAATGCATCGGTAACAGATATGTGACCACCAAGGTTCATTAAAATTTTAACCCAGACTATCTCATTTTCGTCTCTCAAATTATAAGGAAAGAAGTCATTATAAAACTACAAATTTAAATAAAGGAAAAATTTTGTGTGTAGTATATAACAGTGTCCTGATATAGTTGACCATCTTATTCATTACAAGGTAGAATTTTTAATATATTCATTGAGTGTCTTGGCTTGACTTGTAACAGATTTTACCAATATAGCTACAGACCCTTGAACACTACAGGCAAAGCAAGTCTCATTTGTTGCCTAGGAATCACACTAAGTCATATCAACCAAAAAACAAAGTGTTGATAGGGCAATAATTCAAATTATCAGGAACTGTCAGCAAACCTTTTGTGGTTTAAAAAAATAGTAGTTTGCAAGATTGTGAGTTTTGAGTTAAATTTCTCTATTAAATATCCTGAATTTTAGTTGTAAGATAACAGTTAAAATAAAAATAACAAGAAGACAAATGCTGA